ATTATTACTGCTCTTAATCCAAGTCCATTGAAATTGCTCCTTAAAAGTCTGAGCTAAATCAAATCAGAAATAATATTGAAGCATTAGCAAAATTAAAAGGAAATTTTATCCATAGGTAAAATAAAATTAAATAAGCCATTGTCAAGGATCAGAAATGAGTTACTGACTAGCATGAACCTAGTTCAAGAAGCGAATGACTGGCAAGTCGGCTTTATAAGGCTGCAGTGTTAAGTTGATTTAACCTGCTTTCCAAAGAAGCTAAAAAGAATTACTTGGAGCTAGTACATATCATGCAGCTAAGTGTATGCCTACCTCCTACCCAGAAACTAAATCTAAGTAGAAATGCTACTTACAGCATGGCTATGGATCCCGGATTGTAAAATCTCCCTGCATAGAGCAATTTAACATGCAAATTAGGCAATCCATTGTCCTAATAAAAATCTTGTATTGTTTGGTGTGTTTTGGCTGGTAAAAATGTTTTTTAAATATTGGTGGTTTTCAACTTTCAGAATCAGAGTCTTAACAACAGCAATGTGCAGTGATTGCTGAAAAGTTCTATATATTCCTGCCAAATTACATTGTTTCAATGCAACTGAAGCCCTAATGTTTCATTTTCTTTTAAGTTTTTGTTTTAAAGCTGTCCATGTGGCTACCATATTCAATATTGTGTCCTGGCATCTCACTTAATTTTTTTTTTTTTTTTTGAGATGGCCTCTCACTGTCACCCAGGTTAGAGTGCAGTGGCATAACCTTGGCTCACTGCAACCTCAGCCTCCCGGGTTCAAGCAATTCTCTGCCTCAGCCTCCTGAGTAGCTGGGATTACAGGCACCTGCCAGCATGCCCAGCTAATTTTTTTATTTTTATTTTTTTATTTAGTAGAGACGGGGTTTCACCATCTTGACCAGGCTGGTCTTGAACTCCTGACCTCATGATCTATCCCCCCCTTGGCCTCCCAAAGTGCAAGGATTACAGGTGCTTGTCACTATGCCCAGTTTCACTCAATTTTTAAAAAATTAAATATTGGAGCCAGTTGCAGTGGCTCATGCCTGTAATCCCAGCACTTTGGGAGGCCAAGGTGCATGGAGCACGAGGTCAGGCATTCAAGACCAGTCTGAACAACATAATGAAACCCTGCCTCTACTAAAAACACAAAAATTAGCCAGGTGCAGTGGTGCACGCCTGTAATCCTAGCTATTCGGGAGGCTGAGGTAGGAGAATCTCTTGAACCTAGAAGGTGGAGGTTGCAGTGAACCGAGATCATGCCACTGCACTCCGCCTGGGCAACAGAGCAAGACTCTGTCTCAAAAAGAAAAAATTAAATATTTAAGTCAGGAATAAAATAATAATTTGTACTCATTGATTAATTCTACTGATATTTGAGTGCCTGATATTTGCCAGTCACCATGCTCAGAGTTAATAAAGAAACAATACCTAAAACATCAGCTCTTATGTTAAATGAGTTCATGAAAGTGAACTGCACATATAAATATAGAAAAATATTAACCATATTAAGGAATAGTTTCATAGTTATTCTATCAGTAGGATTATCATATGCGCATTAAATAAGATTGTCCGTTTTCAATTGTCCTGCAAGATCTGTCGGTAACAAATGGGATTTAATGCTTTACAGTTTAGATTAACAGGGATTTCTAATCTATAAGTTAGTAAAAGACTATTTAGCTTTATATTTGTATGTGTCTATACAGTGATTAGATGAAAAGGGAAAGTTTAGTGACCTTTAAATTAGGACAAATATCTTTAGTGAAATTGTTCTTCCCCTACTTTGGCTTCTTCATCCTATATCTTGGTTTGCAATCACAGATGTATTAAACATTATTGGTTAACAAATCTTAAAAAAAAAAGAAGCAGCAAATGACTTAGAGAATTAATGGTTTAACTATAACTGGGTGTGGTGGCTCTTGTCTGTAATCCTAGCACTTTGGGAGGCCAACATGAGCAGACTGCCTGAGCTCAGGAGTTTGAGACTAGCCAGCGAAACACAGTGAAACCGTTTCTACTCAAAATACAAGAAGTGGCTGGGCACAGTGGCTGACATCTATAATCCCAGCTCTTTGGGAGGTCGAGGTGGGTGGATCACAAGGTCAGGAGTTCAAGACCAGCCTGGCCAACATGGAGAAACCCGGTCTCCACTAAAAATACAAAAATCAGCTGGGCATGGTGGCAGCCTAATGTAATCCTAGCTGCTCGGGAGGCTGAGGCAGGAGAATCGCTTGAATCCAAGAGGCAGAGGTTGCAGACCATGCCATTGCACTCCAACCTGGGCAACAGAACAAGACTTTGTCTCAAAAAAGAAAAAAAAAAATTAGCCAGCATGGTGGCACATACCCGTCCCAGCTACTGAAGAGGCTGAGTCACGAGAATCACTTGAACCCAGGAGGCAGAGGTTGCAGTGAGCCGAGATCATGCCACTTCACTCCAACCTGGGCAACAGAGCGAGACTCTGCCTCCAACAAATAAATAAATATATACATAATTGAAGCAAAACTAGCACTGTCAAGCACTACTCTGCCAACTCCTAAAGATGACATACTTGTGCCTTTGAAAAAAAAAGAAAAAAGAAACAAAGAATCCTGTTAAAAAACTGTTCTCCCATGATAGCCTTATAAGAAAAAAAAAATGTGCCCTTTTACTGAATGAAATGCATCCAAGAACACCTTTCACTTCAATGAAAAGGAAAACAATAATAAAAACTGCAGACGTGAAATTCAGAGAAAGCCAATATAAAAGAACGCAGCTTATCGACCGTAATTGTGCTCCAAAATAACTCCTACAATAGGTTTAAACATTAAAGTTCTTTGGGAGGCACGGAATGGCTCAGAACCACAAGGGTGGTCCAAGTGCATTGTTAGTGTAAATAATAAATGGTGCCCTTATGACCTAAAAGAGTTAATATTACTCCTTTCCCCCAAAATGTATTACTAGCCAGGTCTCTGAGATATGATATGGCCCTGGAAAAAGTCCATTTGTTCCCAAGCTTTAATACTCAAAAAGCCCAGCAAAGACCTCCCCACTTTCTATCTCCAAACCTCCATTACTACCTAAAAACCATATTTTGTAAACCCAAATTTTAACTATACTACTGGTTTTTCTTCATGAGGCAAAGTAAAAATCCTCTATGATTAATGCTTTAGCTAAAAGCATAGAATGTAGAATGGGAAGATTATTTATGGTTCTTCTCTTTAGAAGCTAATAGAGTCAGATGTTAGCCTAAAAGGTTGAAAATCCTACAGTGGGATTTTTTTTTTTCCAACAGATAAAAGTGGCTTCTGGAAAGCAGCATAAATACTGTCTGCAGTAAGCCATAAGCACTAATAATTTTGCTATAAGTGCTCCGTCAAAGGGAAATGAACATGTTAAATGTTATTAAAAAGTGGGCAGCAAATTATCTTGAAAGCCATGGTGAAATAGTAGCATAAGTGACAAGCATTGCTTTCAGTGCTGTATTAAGATGGACGGTGGTTGAGGGGATTCGCCAGGCCACCCTTCCCTATAGTTAAATCACATTCAGTGGCTCAAATGTAATATGGATTGAATTTCCCATTCTAGTTTTATTTCCCCCAAGGCTGTTAAATTTCTTTTCTCCCTCAATTGTTCATTCTTCTTAGGTTAATTCTGTTTGAAAGACTAACTTTGTTAATTGTACAAAATAGGCAAGTAAGCATGAGACTCGATTTTACTACTTTTTGTTTTTTGAGACAGGGTCTCACTCACCCAGGCTGGAGTGCAGGGGCATAATCATAGCTCCTGCAGCCTTGTCCTCCCGGGCTCAAGTGATCCTCCCAACCCAGCCTTCCCAGTAGCTGGGATTACAGGTATGTGTCACCATACCCAGCTGATTCTTGTGGTTTTTTTTGTAGAGACAGGGATTCACTGTTGCCCAGGCTGGTCTCAAACTCCTGGGCACAAGCAATCCACCTGCCTCGGCCTCCTAAAGTGTTGGGATTGCAGGCATTAGCCACTGTGCCCAGCTGATTTTATTACTTTTGACATTGTTAAAATTTAATTTGGGCCAGGCATGGTGGCTCATTCCTATAATCCCAGCACTTTGGGAGGCTGAGGCAGGCAGATCACCTGAGGTTGGGAGTTTGAGACCAGCCTGACCAACATGGAGAAAACCTGTCTCTACTAAAAATACAAAATTAGCAGGGCTTGGTGGCACATGCCTGTAATCCCAGCTACTTGGGAGGCTGAGGCAGGAGAATGGCTTGAACCCAGGAGGCGGAGGTTACAGCGAACTAAGCTGAGTGCTACGCCATTGCTCTCCAGCCTGGGCAACAAGAGCAAAATTCCGTCTCAACAAATAATAATAATAAAATAAAATAAATTAATTTGGCAGAGAAGTTTGTGTTTAGGTTTTTTTCAATAGGGTATTTCCAGTGAAAAGCTTTTTGTATTTTTGTTCCCTTTTTAAAAACCAGGAACATTAAATGTTTCTTTTTCTTTAGGAATATTCCTTAAAATAATTGGATTTAATAAATTACTGGGAACAAATACAGAAACAGCAAATTTTCACCTCCTTTGAGAATGAATGGAACAAAGAAAAGAAAAAAAGAAGAAATAGCAATTTGAAAATAAAAGGCCTGAGGTGTAACACTAAGGCAGTCATATTCCCCCTTTATAATAAAAGAGATTTCCACAGAACAGATGTGTTGATTGTTCAGTAAGACAACAATTAGTTACTAATTTAATTTGGGAGATGATTAAAACATTTATATGCACAGGAATGGCACCGTTACCAAGTTACTCCATGTATGACTTTGGTCAACATGACCAATGAATCACAGCCTCCTGGAAGGACAGACAGCTTGGGAGCAGTCCTGTCTCCAAGTGGATGGAGACAGGTGTGGGCTGGTGTTAGAGGAGGAATTCAAATCAGACTCCCTAAATGTGTTCAGAATGTTGTGCAAGCATATTTATTAATGTGAAAGAAATTTGCAAATTGGCAGTGTTCAATTTCTTTTTTCTTTTCTTCAAATAGGGTCTTACTCTGTCACCAGGCTGGAGTGCAATGGCATCATCATAGTTCACTGCAGCCTTGAACTCCTGGGCACAAGGGATCCTCTCGCCTCAGCCTCCCAAGTAGCTGGGACCACAGGTATGCACCACCATACCCAGTTAATTTTTTTTATTGTTGTAGAGATGAGTTCTCACTATTTTGTTCAGGCTGGTCTTGAACTTTTAGGCTCAAGCAATCCTCCCACCTCAGTTTTCCAAAGTGTTGGGATTACAGGCACGAGCCACCGCGCCCGGCTCAATGTCTTAACAGAAAACAAATCTGAATCAAATAAGGCATAGACAGATTAATAGATTATAGATCTACATCAGTTCAGTTCCAACAGGAAACACATGCCATGCTGAAACTGGATCATTAAATATTGTTAAATGAAGAGAGGGTTTATAAAGGTGTTACACTAGATTACTAGGGTCGTCATAACACAGTACTAGAGACTGGATGGCTTAAACAATACAAACGTATTTTCTCAGGGTTCTGGAGCCTAGAAAGCCAAAATCAAAGCGTCAGCATGATTCATCCCTTCTGGGGGTGTAGGGGAAAGACCTGGTCCACGCCTCTGTCCTTGACTCATAGATGGCCATCGCCTCCCAGTGTCTTCACACTGTCTTCTTCTATGTGTGTCTATTTCTGGATCCAAATTTATGCTTTTTATACAAATACTAGTCTCATTGGATTAGAGCCCACTTTTTTTTATTGTTGTTGGAGGCAGGGTCTCACTTTGTCACCCATGCTGGAGTACAGTGGTGAAATTGTAGCTCACTGCAACTTCAAACTCCTGGGCTCAAGTGATCCTCCCACCTCAGCCTCCTAAGTAGCTGGTACTACAGGTGCCCACCACCACATCTGGCCACAGCCCACTTTTATGGCCTAATTTTAACTTGATTACTCCTGTAAAGACCTTTTCTCCAAATAACGTCACATTCTGAGATATTGGGAGTTAGGATTTCAACATATTAATTGGAAGAGGGGAACATAATTCAGCCCATAACAGGCTGGGAACAGTGGCTAATTCCTAGAATCCCAGCTCTTTGGGAGGCCAAGGCGGGAGGATGACTTGAGATCAGGAGTTCAAGATCAGCCAGGGCAACATGGTGAAAACCTGTCTCTACTAAAAATACAAATATTAGCCTGGCATGGTGATACATGCCTGTAATCCCAGCTACTTGGGAGGCTGAGGCAGGAAAATAGCTTCAACCTAGGAGATGGAGGCTGTAGTGAGCCAAGATTGCACCACTGTACTCCAGCCTGGGCCACAGAGCAAGACTCTGTCAAAAAAAAAAAAAGTAATAGGTGTAGACACTGCTTGAGTAAACCAACAAGGGATAGTCACAGCAGAAAGCTCTTTCCACCCTAGGATGAAAGATGAATGGAGAGCAATATGGAACTTAAACCATAGGAGGCTTGCTTGAGGCGCGAAGGTTGAGACTGCAGCGAGCTATCCGACTGCATTCCAGCTTGAGTGAAAGAGCAAGACTTTCTAAAAATAAAAATAAAAAAATTTTTTTAATTAAAAAAAAAAGTCCAGGCATGGTGCCTCATGCCTGTAATCCCAGCACTTTAGGAGGCCAAGGCAGGTAGATCACGAGGTCAGGAGATCGAGACCATCCTGGCCAACATGGTGAAAGCCCGACTCTACTAAAATACAAAAGAAAATTAGCCGGGCATGGTGGCTCATGACTATAGTCCCAGCCACTCAGGAAGCTGAGGCAGGGGAATCGCTTGAACCCAGAAGGCAGAGGTTGCAGTGAACCGAGATTGTACCACTGCACTCCAGCCTGGCTGCAGAGACTCAGTCTCAAAAAAAAAAAAAAGAAAAAGATACAAAGGTCTTGTGTTTTGGCTGGTAGCCAAATATTCAGGGAGGGGTATGTATGAAGCATTGAGGAGTTAACTACCATCAGAGTTCTACATGGAACTCTGATAAAAGTTGTGTTTATACCCCAACTGTCCTGACTACACTAGCAATCAACAATCTTTGCTTAGGAATCTATGCAAAATGTATATAAAAATCTTTTACAAAGCCTCCCAAAATACCCTTTCCCATGGAGTGCCAGAACACTCAGCCTCCTTTGATGAGATCTAAACACAGCAGAGGTCATTTCTTTGGAATCATCAGTGTAAGATATTCTATATGACTTCTGCAATGTCATAGCAGGATCTCTCTCTTTTTATATTGGTGAACAGATGTAAAGTTTTAGCTTCAATATAAAGGTTACTGCATAAATTCTGTATGCCTTTGTAAGTCCTGTGACATGGTAAATAAAGTAAGAAAAGCCAGCATCTACACATATACTATAAAAGTCTCATATCAGTTTTCATCAGCAGATGAAGAGTTACATACCAAACATGTGCAAACATGTAATACTAGAGCTTTCCAACTCAAAAAAATACTAAGCTTTTTCTCAAACTAACAATGATTATATTCCTCCGAGGGCTATGAATACGTACAGTTTGAAGGTTTTATGTCCAACTATTCTTAAAGTTATTTGAGGGCAGAAAAGGGTCACTGAGATTTTTTTTTAATCATTTTATAGAAAAACAGCTGGACTGATTTAGTCTAACATCTTCCAGCTATGAAATGGGAAGAATAGCTGGAAGATGTTAGAGGTTCGTGCTGTTCAGGTTCATGCTGTTCCCCGCACAAACCTGAACAGCATGACAGCATTTCAGAAAGAAAGCAAGATTTCTTGGCCAGGCGTAGCAACTCAGGCCCGTAATCCCTGCACTTTGGGAAGCTAAGGAGGATGGTTCACCTGAGGTCGGGAGTTTGAGACCAGACCAGCCTGGCCAATTTGGTGAAACCCTGTCTCTACTAAAAATACAAAATTAGCCAGGCCTAGTGGCACATGCCTGTAATCCCAGCTACTTGGGAGGCTGAGGCAGGAGAATCGCTTGAACCCAGGGAGATGGAAGTTGTGGTGAGCCGAGATCAAACCACTGCACTTTAGCCTGGGGCAATAGAATGAGACTCCATCTCAAAAAAAAAAAAAAAAAAAAAAAAAGAGAGAAAGCAAGGAGATTTCTGTGTTGGAAAGTTGATATTCTTGGATTTGACCAACTGTTATTTATTAAAGCTGCTATCAATCTTAAGAATATGACTTCTCATAATAAATAAATCTGAATAAGAAAATATTTTTTTCTAAAAGTAGGCTTATACCAGGTAGGAGAGAAAATAGAAACTCAAAACATTATGACTTCATTGTTACATTTACTATTTCTACCAATCTACATGTATATATATAAACAAGGAGTAACATTTAAAGAAAAAAGCTGGGCTGGGCATGGTGGCACACACCAGTAATCCCAGCACTTTGGGAGGCTGAGGCAGCAGGATCCCTTGAGCCGAGGAGTTCAAAACCAGCTTGGACAATATAGGCAGATCCTTGTCTCTAAAAATAAGTAAATAAATAATTGAAAGACTGTAGACTATTTCTAAAACTCTATTAAAGTTCAACCTATTCGCACACATTTCTCTCTTTTTTTTTTTTTTTTTGAGACAGAGTCTTGCTCTGTCACCTAAAACTGGAGGGCAGTGGAGCAATCTCAGTTCACTGCAACGTCCTCCTCCCAGGTTCAAGTGATTCTCCTCCCTCAGGCTTTTGAGTAGCTGGGATTACAGGCATGCACCACCACTACACCCGACTAATTTTTATATTTTTAGTAGAGATGGGGTTTTGCCACATTGACCAGGCTGGTCTCAAACTCCTAAACTCAAGTGATCTACCCACCTCAGCCTCCCAAAGTGCTGGAATTGCAGGCATGAGCCACCATGCCCTGCCTCTCACACATTTTTTAGTCTTTCACTCTTCACCAAAATATTAATCTTGGTTTTGAGTAGTCTCTGCCTTCTAACACGCTCAATCCTTTACAAAAGTTTGACTGTACGGCCAGGTGCAGTGGCTCACGCCTGTAATCTCAGCACTTTGGGAGGCCAAGGCAGGTGGATCACCTGAGGTCAGGAGTTCAAGACCAGCCTGGCCAACATGGTGAAACCTTGTCTTTAAAAAAAAAAAAAGTTTGGCTGTGTGTTGTCATACCATCCTCACAAATTAGATGGTTATGAAACATGGTATATTTGTTCATTTTAATTGATGAGCCTCTTAGATCATATGCAGATTTCCACTGACTGTAGGAGAAATCTATATATTGATATGGATGGATACTCAATATATTATTGAATGTTTATGAAATTTGGAAGGGGAGAGCAATTGGAATAATGCTCTTGAATTAGTTGCCAATAAAACTCAAGAGGGAACACCTTAAAGGGGTTAAAATAAAAAATATTATGTTATGGCCCAGGCGTGGTGGCTCATACCTATAGTCCCAGCACTCTGGGGCCAGAGGTGGGCAGATCACGAGGTCAGGAGATCAAGACCATCCTGGCTAACATGGGGAAACACCATCTCTAGTAAAAATACAAAAAATTAGCCAGGCATGGTGGCACACGCCTGTAGTCCCAGGTGCTCAGGAGGCTGAGGCAGGAGAATCGCTTGAACCCGGGAGGCAGAGGTTGCAGTGAGCTGAGATCGCGCACTGTACTCCAGAATGAGACTTTGTCTTAAAAAAAAAAAGTTATGTATATTTTTAGCATGACAAAAAAAATTCAAAGGGGGAAAATAGCAGAAAAACATGAGAAAAAAAGTTCATATATGTTGAAGGGGTTCTGGGACTACCTTGAATAAACAATGCAATGGCATCAGGTTCTTTGATTATGGTATGGCAGATTTACATATCTCATGCTTAGAGTAGAGCAAAACTGAAATGGCCAGCTAGTATAAGAAATAAAATCCGCAGAACGATCCAAGATGGCCGATCGCTAACATCCCGGGATTGCAGCTCTCAGGGAAGGCGCGGAGAACTAGAGGACGCCACACTTTCAGACAAAGTCTGGTCGCTCACGGAGCAGAAGATCCCCAGTGGTGGAAACACACGGGTCGCCAGCGCGACACTCGTGGTCGGCGCAGCGTTTCCGCCGGCACCTCGGCAGGGCAGCTCTCGGAGCAGAGTAAACGGGACCGGTTCCCCTTCTGACCGAGGTTTGGAGCCCCGGGAAGGCAGAGTTGCCTACTACGGACACAAGAAGGAAGCCCGACAGGAGAATCCTGGGCAGAAAAGCACCGTAAGTTTTAACGCCGCTGCTCTGGCCCTGGGAACTAACAACCTGGACGTCCACTCAAGAGACCTAATCTGAAAGTTGGTAATTTCAAAGACGGCAGGAGGATAAATTTACAATGACGGGAAGAAACCAGCGTAAAAAAGCTGAGAATACTCAAAGTCAGAACGCCGCTCCCTCTAAAGATGATCACAGTTCCACATCGACAATGGAACAAGGCTTGATGGAGAACGAGCGCCTCCTGATGACAGAATCACTCTTCAAGGAATGGATAATAACAAACTTCGGTGAGTTAAAAGAACATGTTGTAGCCCAACGTAAAGAAACTAGGAACTTTGAAAAAAGGTTTGATGAAATCCTATTGAGAATAGACAACTTAGAGAGGAGTATGAGTGAATTAATGGAACTGAAGAATACAATACAGGAACTCCGAGAAGTATGCACAGGTTTAAACAGTCGAATTGTCCAAGCAGAAGAAGGGATATCAGAGGTCAAAGTCCAACTTAATGAAATAAAACGTGAAGAAAAGATTAGAGAAAAAAGGATAAAAAGGAATGAGCAAAGTCTCCAAGAAATGTGGGACTATGTGAAAAGACCAAATTTACGTTTGATAGGTGTACCTGAATGTGACGGAGAGAATGAATCCAAGCTGGAAAATACCCTTCAGGATATTATTCAGGAAAATTTTCCTAAACTAGCAAAGCAGGTCAACATTCAACCCCAGGTAATACAGAGAACACCACAAAGATATTCCTCAAGAAGAGCAACCCCAAGGCACATAATCGTTAGATTCACCAGGGTTGAAACGAAGGAGAGGATACTAAGGGCAGCCAGAGAGAAAGGTCGGATAACCCACAAAGGCAAGCCTATCAGACTTACAGCAGATCTCTCAGAAGAAACTCTACAGGCCAGAAGAGAGTGGGGGCTAATATTCAACATCCTCAAAGAACAGAACCTTCAGCCCAGAATTTCATATCCAGCCAAACTAAGCTTCACAACTGAAGGAAAAATAAAATCTTTTATGAACAAGCAAGAACTCAGAGATTTTATTACCACCAGGCCTGCTTTACAAGAGCTTCTGAAAGAAGCATTACACACAGAAAGAAACAACCAGTATTAGCCTTTCTAAAAATACACCAAAAAGTAAAGAGCACCAACATAAAGAAGAATTTACACCAACAAATGGATAAAACAGCCAGTCAACATCAAATGGCAGTAACCCTAAATTTAAATTGACTAAATTCCCAATCAAAAGACACAGCCAAAACCCAATGGCATGTTACATCCAGACCTGTTTCA